GCCCAATTAGAAAATGTTATTCCAATTATAAATGAATTTCACCCCAAAACAAAAAAAAAAAAAAAAAACGAAAATTTCCACACCTGTTGAACCATAAATTGCTGATGTTGAGATTGTGCGTACATAGGATAATTATTAATGGAATAAGGACCGGACTGCCCGGGTACTTGTGTTGAAGAATACGTCTGTTGTGGGGATAGCATACCATATCGCTGGTGAATATATATAATTCTTAGCATATGAAATATAACAATCTGTAATGTTGTTCTGGATTTCAAACCTTATGGTCGCTAGTGGTATCAAATCCTGGTGGAGGATTATCATCATCATCATCAGTAGCGTTAGCAAACTGTAAAAAAATAAAACAAGTAGACCATTATTATAGAATCATATAACTAATTAATAGGTAACTAAAGAAATTAAAATCATAAAAATACGTTTTGCTTACATCATGGTTACCTTTACTTTCATGAGGTTCGCTGTACTGTAATAATGCATGAGGGTTTTTTTTTTTTTTAACAATCGTTAAGATGTAGCAATCCTCAAAAAAAATCAATAATTTACCTCAGTGTATTTCAATAAGATTTTGTCAATATCCGTGCTCGCATATTGAACAAGCTTATTGTTTGAATTAAAAATAATTAATGCGATTTCACAATCGCACAATACACTGAGCTCGTAAGCTTTCTTCATAAGCCCATACTTGCGCTTCAAAAAAGTCACCTGACACAACGCAAAGTTAAAGCATTAATCAATAATAATGATAATTGGTCAAATTGTTCTCTTTAAATGTCAGGATATCTTACTTGACGATTTCTCTCGTCTTTAATAGGTTTTATCTGAATCTTCTTGCGACCCATATTTTACCCTTTTCGTTTAACTGCGGAGAACATGAATAAATACAATGGATTAGTTAATCGTATCAAATTGGCTTTTTTTAAAAAGAATGAACAGGGCTGAAATGCCAGTTTACTTGATTGTTCATTTTGGTACTGAAAATTTTAAGGAAAAGTTTGTGAAGAAAAAGGTAAAGGGAAACTGGACTAAAAAAGGAGCCAATTTAAAGTGATAAAGAGTAAATTTGGTAAGTCGTTCTTTAAAAATACTTACATTGTAGAAGCGAAGAATAATTTTAAGTCGAGATAATTTTTATTTATGGACGCGTTTGTGAGAGTTTATTCTTGGTTGTTCTTTTTTTACCACGAGTTTCTATAATAAAACTTGATATGTAAGTGCCGAGAGGAGCAAAAAATGAGGTGTGAAAATTTTCGTTTTTTTTTTTTTTTTTTGTTTTGGGGTGAAATTCATTTATAATTGGAATAACATTTTCTAATTGGGC